TTTTGTTCTCTTTACATACAGTTGTAATCCACATGGAAGACTGTAATCATTGATGTTCATCAGTGGCTTTAAGTCCTCTTCCCTTTGTTGGTGCAATGTTGTGTCATCTGCATATTGTTGTTAAATGCCATTGAGTTGGTTCCGATTCACAGTTTGAACTGCCTACCTTGCAGTTCAAACCGACTTTGTAGTCCAGCGTATTAATCCACAGTGCTATAGCAGGATGAGTCTTCCTCCAATCCTGATGTGCTCTTCATATAATCCAATTTGTAGAATTTTGTAATTAGCATACAAATTAAATACATGTAGTTAAAAGGGCACAATGCTGATGCACACCTTTCCTAATTTTGAACCATGCAGAATTGCCTTCTTCTTTCTGAATGACTGCCTCATGGTCTATGTACAGGTTCCCCACGAGCACAATGAAATGTTCTAGAATTCCCATTCTTCACAATAGTATTTCTAGTTGTTATGATTCACATAATCAAGTGCTTTTGCATAGTCAATAAAACATAAGTAGACATTTTTTCTGATATTCTCTGCTTCCAGCCAAGATCTAACATCAGTAAATTCTTTATTCCATGCCCTCTTTGAATCCAGCTTGGATTTCTGACAGTTCCTTGTCTATACATTGCTATAATTATATTTGAACTGTTTTTGCTCATCTGTACCATTGAGATTTTAAAAGGAGTAATGCAGTGTCTGATACTAAGTAAGCTATATAGTGTTGTTGTTAAGTGCTGTTGAGTTGGTTCTGACTCATAATGACCCCGGGTGGGTTTGAACCATTAACCTTGGCAGTTAGAAGTCCATGCTTATCCTACAACACCACATCAGAAATCACACACATACAGTAAAGCTTGCTAATTTTTATTATGGGTGAATAAATTTTTGAGGTATCGAGTCATGCTTTCATTTTATTTTTTTCTCTTTTCTACACTGATGGAACACTCATTCTGCCTTTCTTTATTTCAAGGAAGGTATGTGGCAGGACAGAAAACCAAACTGACTTGCAGGATTTTCAGGATGTTGTTGCTTAAAGTCTAAGTCCATTGGAGAACTTGAGGGTCCTTGGAGGATGTTAAAGAAAGAGACAATGTGAGGGAAGAAGTAATCAGTACAGGCAGGTTCCAATTGGTGGGACTTGGACCAACTTCCTGATGGTGGTTGAGGGAGGTAGCAAGAGCAGAGAGGAAGAGATGTGTGGCTTGTCTGAGGGGTATGATTTAGTTGTTTGTGTAAGTCAGTCCTCAGGTACCAATGGTTTTTGGTGCAGTTGTGCCATAGAGTCAACAGTGGCCTGTGGACAGGGATAGGAGAGGAACCCCAGATACTCCACAGCCCCGTAGCAGGTTGGGAAATCACAAGGATCCAAGCATATTCGAGAAGCATTCCACAAAAATGACCACCCCTCCCCAGCTTGTAAGGATAGAATCACTCTGCAGAAATTCAATTGGTGTATAGAACACCACTGGTATCGTAGTGGTTACAAATCGAGCTGCGAACCTTAAGGCCAGCAGTTCAAAACTACCAGCCACTCCATGGGAGAAAGATGAGGCGTTCTGCTCCCATAAAGATTTACAGCCTCGGAAACCCTGTACAGGGTCGCTATGGGTCGGACCCGACTCGAAGGCACTTAACAACAACAACGTAGAACACCAAGAGAAGGAATTCAGAGCAGCTCCACGAGCTTATAAATCTGCACAGTTTACAGCTAAGGTAATGGAAGCTGGGGATGAAGTGAGTCATTCAAGGTCACCCACTGAAGTCGCTTATGACATACATGTGACAAAGGCCTAACACATGCCAGCACTTGACATAATTAATATCCAGTCCTCACTACAACCCTCTCAGTGTCATTGTCTCTTCTCCAGGGAGGAGAAAACTGAGGTTCGGAGAGGGAATTTACCCAAGGGTTCACCAACTTGTGAACTGGTGTGGCGCTGGAAGATCGGCACTGGACTGCTAACCACAAGGTTGGCAGTTCAAACCCACTAGCTGCTCCTAGAAAATCCTATGCAGGGTTGCTATGAGTAAGAACCAACTTCATGGCACTTAACAACAACATACCACTATGTGGCAGACCCAGGATGTCACACATGCGCTTTTCCAGACACTCCACTCCCCCTGCCTTTTGCAGCAGGTGGCACCCACCACTTTGGATCACTTTCTGTCATACTGCGATGACAGATCAGCTGCAACTTCTCCTCTCTCTGATTCTGGGCTCCCTACCATGGATATGACAATAGGTCCATTTCTATGTGTCCAGTGTGAGCACATAGCAGATGCTCAATGAATTGAATTGAATTAACTTCTTTATTTTCATATCAGAATGGAGATCACAAGCTGGATCCTAAGGGGAGATAGCCCCCATACCTGATTTTGTTTTAGTTATTTTTGTAGATCAGTCCCCAGGTACCAAGAGTCTAGACCGCCTAAGGGGAGTTGTCCCCACACCACACAAGGTAGCTGGTGCTGAAATCTTATCTTGGTTTTTCTAAAAGCTTTTTGAGAGGATAAGCTTGCCTGACGCTCTGAGCTGGGGCAGTGCTTCTGATAGCACTGCATTTGAGTGTTCCTAGAATGATCCCAATCGTGTGAATAAACAGAGCAACCAGTACCAAGGGAGCTTTGATTCCCAACTCTGAGGGTCACCTTCCAGGGCGAAAGGCAACTGAGTCTGAGTCCAACTCCAAGACTCATCATGCAAGAGTGTTTGTATTTGTGTCAGGCTGGGGCACTGGTGACATGGGGCAGTGACATGAGTTTGGGTCTCCCCTTTTTTCCCTCTCCTACTCTTCCACCTCATATTGTCTCCCCCCTCCCCCCAGAGGGTCCTGGTTCTAGAGGCTGCAGGTGGGACCCTGAAGGATGGACAGAGATTAGAAGGCGTGAGTAAGAAGCAGACCTGTCCACAGATGTAACCAGGTAATCTGAAGAGAGTCCCCTAGCCTACTAGGCCCTGTGGTGTCATGAGCAGGACATTAGATCAAGAGTCTTTTGACCATTGTAAGGTCTGTCTTCATATGGACAGGTCCTTTAGCCTCGCTCAGATTGGATCTCCTAATCTGCAGGGCAGAAGAATGCAACTGCCTGCCACTCCTCCCAGGTGGTAGGAAGGCCACTCTTCATTCATTCATTTTCCTTTTTTAACCAAACACTTACCGAGCACCTACTATGTGTCATGTCTAGTGCTGGTGTGTGGAAGGAAACACGCATTCAGATGAGTGGGATATTCACAGGGTGTGCAGAACCTGGCCTGGTGGTCAATGTCCACAGGGAAGAAAACTTGAGACGAACTATTACATTTAGTGGAAGTTTCTCTCTCTGCTTCCTTGTTTTTTAGGGTAGGAGTTTGTCAAGAAAACAGTTGGATGTGTTTGTGGATGGTTTCCTAGGGACATGAGTGACCGGTCTTCTGGGATCCCATCTTTGTGAAGGGACGTGGATAGGGCATTGTCATGGTGGGATCTGATCTAGCTCTCTTCCTGTCAGTTGCTGTTGAGTTAACTCCAATTCATGGTAACTCATGAATAGAGTAGAACTGTGCTCCATTGAGTTTTCAATGACTGATTTTTCAGAAGTATGTCACCAAGTCTGTCTTCAGAGGAGCCTCTGGGTGGACTCGAGCCTCCAGCCTTTTGGTTACCTTTTGTACCACCCAGGGACTCCAGGCTATCTTCTGAGCTTCTTTAACAACAACAACTACAACAAAACCTCTCAGTTGTCCTCTTGACTGTCTTCCAATGTTCCCCACTAAGGCCCCTACAAATCAAATATTAAACTTCTGAGCCTATTCCCTTCAATAAAGCCAACCATGTCTCGGGACTCATTGGTGCTCACCTCTTCAGCTGCCCTCCCTGTCTTCCCTGCCCCAGGTAGACGGCCTTCTTCTTCTACTCCCACACAGTTGTCTGTTCTACCAAGTGCCCGGCTGACAATCTGCTCACATAGACCTCCTTCACACCCTGGGCCCAAAGTCTCTTCCTGCACCGGTGATGCCCCCTCATCCTGACTTAATCCTGACTTTCCAATTTATCATATCATCACACCCTGGAATATGATCTCCTCCATTGCTTTTGTGTCTATAGTCTTTATTTTCCTTCTTATTTCAATTCTTAGTCTATAGGCCTGAAAGAATACCCAACCTTCTAGCTTGGACAAACTGCAGGTGGCACTTCTGAAAATCTCCCCTGGACCCTTGGATGGGACTTAGGTACCAAGCTGTGGCCTAACTTGTTCCCAAGCCTGCCTGCCATATTTCTCTCCTTCCTCTATGTTTGTGGTACATGTTTGCCTTCTCTGCTTAGCCCTCTCTAAGTTCTCGCATTTGCTAATGAGATATATTATTTCCTCTCATTTTCTAATATGGATGAGGGGCCAGATCCCTCTCTAGACTATACCCTGTGTTACCTGCTGTATGCTCTAAGCCCTCAGAAGTCCATTCCTTAGACTGAAAGACACTCCTGTAGTGACAGAATAGACAAGCACTGTACTTCAGAGGTCACACTGGAAATAAACTGAGCCCCCCTTGAAAGCTGGGCCTGTGAGGGCTGAGGTGGGAGATTCCTGGATAGGTCAGGTCACTGACTTTCAGTGCGATCAGGCCCAGGAAGAGGTGGCAGACAGAGCAGGGTGAGGTCTGTTAAGAATCAACCTCTTTCCAGACCATAATGTGGAACTTGAGTCAGATGTTTGGTGGCAACCCCACCTGTGTTGGTTCAAGAAGTCCTATTTAGAAAGAGAAAACATCAGAGAGTGCTATGTTGACATTTCTTGGTCTGGAGATCAGGCATGTGTACGCTTCAACTTTGAAGTCCCTGGGCGATAGAATTTGTGGGTGTTAGATAGCCTGATGTTATCTTGGTGTGTTTGTGGAGTGGCCTGAAGTCAGAGGCTATCTCCACTGGCCAGGCTTCTAGCCAGAGGAAACTCCATTTTCTCTATAAAAGCTGTGAGAACAAGCATTGGCTAGAGCAGTGGCTAGCTGGTCATTCAAGATGAGGTGCCTCGTGGTGTTCCTTGCCGTCCTCACGCTCTGCCAGGGCACTTTTGTCACTAGGTGAGTGTCAGACCCTAGAGAAGAGGATGGGCAGCAAGGCATTTCTGATGTCTTCTCTGGGTGGGCTTCTCCCTGATTCTTTGGCCATTGGTTCCCCTAGAAAGTCTTTGGAGAATATGCTGCAGGTTCTCAGGATAATTGCTCCTGTTACTCTTGTCTTTGTCCATTGGAATCTTCTCTTCTAAGTGTGTCCTATACTCAGGTGTGGTGGAAAATGGGCAGCTTGGGGAGATGAAGGGCATGCTTCCTGCAGTCAAATGTCTCAGAATTTGAAGACCAGCTTTAAATCCAATTTAACTTCCTTGTGTCTTGGTTTCCTCATCTGTAGAAAAGTTAGGGTGATGATTGTATCCATCTGTATTAGTTTCCAAGGGCTGTTGTGACAAATTATCACAAACGGTGTGGGTGCAGGAGTTCCTGGGTGGCACAAACAGTAATGCACTTGGCTGCTAATCTGAAGATTGGAGGTTATAATCCACCCAGAGACATCTCAGAAGAAAGGCCTAGATATAAGTCTTAGAAAACCCTATAGAGCGCAGTGCTATACTGACATACGTAGAGTTGGCGTTGACTCAGCTATCTACAGCCTCCAATAGCATAATTCTATTTTGTCATAGTTCCTGGAGGCTAGAAATACAAAATTAGTTGTCAGTAGGATCATGAACCTTCTGAAGGATCTAGTAGATGTTTTCTTGTCCCCTTTAGTTTCTAGTGGTCTCAGATCTTCCCTGGTTTGTGACATCAGTCTAATCTCTGCTTCCATCTTCACATGATCATCTGATTCATATGCCTCTCTCTGTGTCTCTTCTTATAAAGACACCAGTCATAAAAAGATTGGGCCCACTCTAATGACCTTTTCTCAACAAATTATATCTGCAATGACTTTATTTCCAAATCAGGTCACATTCACAAGTGCCAAAGGTTAAGTCTGAAGCATATCTTTTCTGGGGTACACAATTCAACCCTTGACACCATCTCATAATTCTGTTATGAGAATTATGTGAGTGAATATCTATAAAAACTTTCAAATAATGCCTTGCATATAGTAAGAGCTATATAAGTCAGCTTGAACTGCAAGATCAGTAGATGAGTAGTTCAAGCTCACCAGCTTCTCCTTGGAAACCCTATACAGGGTCGCTATGGGTCAGAACCGACTCAATAGCATTTAACAACAGCAATAACATTGTAAGGATGGAGTCCTGGTGTGGTGCTGTAGGATAAGTGTTGGACTGTTAGCTTAGTGGCTGATAGTTCAAACCCACCAACTACTCCTCAGAAATTCTATACATGTTTACTATGAGATGGAACAGACTTGACGGCACTTAACAACAGCAATATAAGCATTTGTTGTTGTTAAGTACTGTAGAGTCAGTTTCGACACACAGTGACCCTGTATAGGGTTTTCAAGGCTTTAAATCTTCAAAAGAACAGAAAGCTTCATATAAAATTATCGTTATCAAGTCCTTTGTGAGTCAAGTTCCCAGATTCTCCTCCAAAAGTAATAACCAATATTTATTGAGCATTACTTGGTGCTAGGCACTTAAGCTGGTCTTTTCCTGCACTACCATCAATGCTCATGGCTACCTTTTTAGGTGGATATTATTGTTTGCTCTTTACTGATGAAACAACAGTTGTTCAGAGAGGGCCTTTGACCTGCCCAAGTCCACATGGTTGGTAAGGGTCCCAGGTAGGCTTTTGTTCTTCACAGCATCTCCAAATGCCTGAGTCTGAACCCTGTCAAATCAACCCCTCCCTTGGGAAGCTGGTTCCCTGAAAAGGGTCAGGGTCCCTTTGACCATTCAGAGCTCCTGGTGATGGTCCTAAACTTGGAGTTATCTAGGCCTAAGCTATGTGGCACTGTGGGTTAATGTGCCAGACTGCAAAGCCATTTGAACTGCAAGGTCGGTGGTTCAAGCTCACCAGCTGTTCCTTGGAAACCCTATACAGGGTCACTATGGGTTGGAACCAACTCGATGGCACTTAACAACAACAACAATAACAACAACAGGCCTAAGCTGTGTTGAGACTGCAGGCAGGACTGGAGCGGAGGCAGCCTCTGTGGGGAGTCTCTGTGCACAGCTGGCCTCCTGGTTCTCGGCATGGAGTGAAGGACTGCCTTCCAGATGTTGTCGGCTTGCCCTCAGAGGGAGGTTCTCTGAGGTCCTATGTTGGGGCAAGACAGCTCCACAGAGTCTCAGTTATGTGCTATAGGAGCCCGAAGACACCCTTAGATCCACACAGGAACTGGAGCTGGAGCCAAGTAGAAAGCATTTTGGGGGACTGGATATGGGGACACAGGAAAGATAGCTGTGGATTTGGCCCCAGGAGCTCAGTCTAGCTTCCTTTCTTTTAGATGCCTAAACCCTTTGCTATCATTGGAAATAAGGGCAGAGAAACATCTCTTGGATTTTTCACTGAGCAGTCAGACTTTGACTGAAGTCACATATGAGGGCTGTGGGTAGGGGACCCAGAGAAGAGATCATAATTCATGTGCAGGACGGATTCATATGGAATCCATTAGGGATGTGAGCAACATAAGAAAACCCATTTTATTGCTTTCAAAGCACTTTCTCATCTGCAGCCTCACGTTACCCTCAAAGCAGCCCTACTTGGGAAGAGCACATGATTCTAAGAACTAGAAGTGGCCTTGGGAATCCAATCTAGAAGGGTTAGTTGAAGGCAGGGCCAGGAAAGTGGCTGGAAGGGAAGGAAATGGCCCATTTACTGAGGAGGAGGCTGACACACAGAGGACTTTGGGAGGCATGCATGGTGCCACTGAAGGGGCAGAGTTGGGTGTAGACCCACATTCTTCTGAGTTCCCTCCTGATTCTCTTCTCATTTCTTTGTTTCCATCTTTTAGCATTTAGACTTAGACAGGAGGTCCCTGTGTGGTGCTGTGGCTTAATGCGCCAAACTGCAAAGTCATTTGAACTGCAAGGTCAGCGCTTCAAACTTACCAACTGCTCCTTGGAAACCCTACACAGGGTCGCTATGGGTCGGAATCGACTCAACGACACTCAACAACAACAACAGGAGGTCCCTGAGAAATCCTTTAAGGATTTCCTCCTATTAGGGTAAAAGTTATCTAGAGCGGTGACAGGCACTACTAGTGAAGGAGAAAATACAAATGGAGGCACCATTTTCTTTTCCACAGACTATTCTGCCAGAGTTGGGCAGAGACCGTATCTTTTTCTCGATTATGTCCCTTGTTCCTTGATCAATGTCTGGTGCCTAGTAAGCATAGAGCAACAATTTGCTTGACCGAATAATTAATAACAAATATAGTATCTTTCAAGGAGGTCTGGTAGCGTAGTGGATTATGAGCTGGGCTGCTAACTGAAAGACCAGCAGTTCGAATCTACCAGTCACTCCGCAGGAGAAAAATGAGACTTTATGCTCCTGTAAAGAATTACACTTTCGGAACCCCGATACATGTTCACTATGAGTCAGAAATAGCTCAATGGCACACACGCCCCACCACCATAGTATCTTTTAAATTGCAGGTTGTAAAACTCACTAACAGATTATAAAATAACATCTAGTGGGCCTCCACCAGCAAGGGGAAAAAAATAGAATAGAAAATATCAGAGTGTATCACATTTCATAAGGCTGATCTGTGAATCATTGTAAAATAGAGTTTGAACTTTGGGTTATAATGTTTGAAAAATGAAAGCAGTTGGTTTCAGGTCAATGGAAAGCTGACCAGAAGACTGGACTAGCGGCAGCAGAGTTGTTATTGTTAAGTGCCATCTAGTCGATTCCAACTCATAGCAACCCTGTATAAGGTTTCCAGGGAGCAGCTGGTGAGTTTGAACTGTTGACCTGGCGGTTCAAACCAACCTTGTGGTCCAGTGCATTATCTTATAGCTCGGTTTGTTTGTTGTCATTATTAAGTGCCATCAAGTCAGTTCTAGTGAGTAGTTTAGAGTCCAGAGGCAGATCTGAGTGACTGGGTGGCTCATCATTCATCTTTCCCTACTCCTCAGGATCCCCCTGCACAAGGGGAAGACTATGCGACAAGCTTTGAAGGAGAATGGGCTTTTGGAGGAATTTCTGAAGAAACACCATTATTCAATCGGCAGGAAATACTCCACGTTCAGTGAGGTGGCCAATGAGCCCCTGACCAACTACTTGGATGTAAGTGGCTCTTCTGCCAGTCTTTGGGGAATGGATTCTCAGAGAGATAGGCCCTATCCCTCAGCCCAGCCTCCTTCCTTCAGGAATCATGGTGCCCTGTGAGGTGTGGAAGTCATCTCCTGCCCTCCATAAGGGTCCACAATGGGCCAGCCAACCCAATAGGCTTTAAGAGCAATACCTATGCCTTCAAAGTGCCAAATGCCATGGCTGGAAGGTCTGAGCTCAGACAGCCTTCTTGCATACTTCACTTGGGCATACACCATCTGCTCTCAGACCCAACCTCCTGCCTGCCTTCCACAGCCTAGAGGAAGCCATCTGACATTCTGCAGATGTTGGTTACATGGCTGCTATCTTCTGCCTCCCACCCACGACTCAGGCAGGAACCTCCGTGGTGCCCTGTTTCTTTCTGGAGATTCTCTCTCTCTCATCTGTCACTATTGGCAGTATACAACCTGCCTTTTTTTTTGTTTCCTCTTCTGTGCTCTCATTTCCTTATCTAGGTCATCTTTACCCCATCCCAGTTTTAGCTTTGACACCTGGGGTGGACTAGCAAGGAGGCAGGTATGGGTAGGGACCGCTCTGGTTGGGACCTGGGACTCCGGCCTAGTGGATGCCCCTTCTCTGTGCCCAGCTGCTTTTCAACCCTGGCAAGGTTGGTTCAGGCAAGGCTTAAAAATTGGTCTGATGTACACTTCTGAGGGTGATTCCAGCAGTGACCAGAGGACTTGTGGAGTGAAAGCCCAGCATGCCACCTGGGGATGAGAAACCCTCCCTAAGGGTCTTCTTTATGTCTTGGCCCCTTGACCTTTCTGGATAGAAAGCACAGGGTCTACAAACCTGAACAAGCTCTGTGCCAAGCATCAACACTCACTTCCTAGCCATGCCTCTGACCCGGTGCTGTCTGTTCACAGTGTCAGTACTTTGGAAAGATCACCATCGGGACCCCACCCCAGGAGTTCACTGTGGTCTTTGATACAGGCTCCTCTGACCTCTGGGTGCCCTCAGTCTACTGCAACAGCGATGCCTGCCGTGAGTGACTTCCCTCCTCTCCCCTCCAGCCCAGGCTCACACCCTAGGACCACACCTGGGGAAACATGGTGTGGAAGGAGAGTGTGCTTTGATATCCCAGCTTTGGTGTGTCCCATCTCTCCCTCTGGGACTGCAAATCATGATCTAATGTATAGCGTTCCTTCTGGAAATTAGGGAACCTCGGCAAGCTGCTTGCCCTCTTAGGTCCTCAGTTTTCTCTTCTATGAAATGGGGCTATGATGTACCAGTGGGTGCTGGGAGTTTATTACTGTCATATACTTCTAATGATGAGTAAGCATTATGTATATGTTTTTGTTGTTATGTGCCATTGAGTCAGTTCCCACCTGTCTAGAGTCCAACCCTATATAGGGTTTCTGAGGAATAGCTGGTGAACTTGAACCACTGACTTTATTTATTTTACATATATCTGTGTATGCATGTGTATATATATATAATATGCTGTAGGATAAGCACTGAACTACTAATTGCAAGGTTGGCAATTCTAGCTCATACAAGCTTGCTGTGAGTTGGAGTTGACTGCATGGTGCTTAACAACAATATAATAATTTTTATTCATAGAATATAATTTATTTATAAATATTTACATAGTTGTTAAGTACCGTGGTGTCCCAACTCATAGTGACCCTGTATACAGTTTCTGGGAAGCACCTGGTGGGTTTGAACCTCCAACCTTGAGGCTAGTAGTCTAGTGCTTATCCTACAGTGCCACACTTGGACTCCGTATATTTATATATAATTTTTTCCCCTCCGTAATCCCTGGGAGGCCTGTAATCTTTTGGGCCCCATTTTACAGATGAGAAAATCAAAGTTCAGAGAGGAAAAGGGATTTGCCTACAATCATTTAGTAAGAGTACAATGTCTATGGAACTCTTCCTCCCTCCTTCATTCTTGCCCTTCCTACCTTTGTTTGCTTTCCCCTTTCTCCTCTCTCTCTCTTACTCAGCCCCTTATTCTTCCACTTTTTTTAAACCAGCTACACTGCTAGCCCTGGGAGTCTGGGAGGTGAGTTGAGGAGCAAAGGAAAGCTTTCTTTAGAGAGGAGGCTATAGAGAAAATGGGCTGCTTGTTTCCCCAGGTGGCCAGCATTTAGACAAATGGTCACACAGGTCTGGTGATTGTTTCAGGCTGGCACTGCCAAGGTGTGAGAAGATTCCTCCAGGGTCCCCACTAACCCTGGCTCTGTGTTTCAGAAAACCACCAACGCTTTAACCCATCCAAGTCCTCCACCTTCCAGAACATGGGCCAGTCCCTGAGCATCCAGTATGGCACGGGCAGCATGCAGGGCTTTCTGGGCTACGACACTGTCACCGTAAGTGGGGCTTTGGGACTGCCAGTGCTCACCCCTCCACTTCCACCAGCTGCTTTCCCACCATGGACACCAACCTTGAGCTGGTGCTGAAGAACCCTGAGGGTCCTGCCCACTCTGGGTGGCTTGGTGGTCTGGATTCTGAGAGGGCTTTAGCTGGAGGACAGCTCCCAGAGGCACCCCCTGACAGGCCTCCCCATAGCTAGAATCCCATCATCCCATTCCTTATTATTTTAAATTTGTCTACCTTTCTTTTCCTTCTTGTCTCCCATACTACAGTTAGTTCAGAATTCTGAATCCCTACTCATGTTAAGCTGAACAGCTATTTGAGGGAGTTATTTTTATACCCTGTAATTCAGATGAGGAAACTGAGGCCCAGATGAGTTGCTAAATTGTGTGAAGTCCCACAGCTGGTACCCGAGGAGCTGAGGGTCAGAGCTAGGTTTGGATTCTCTGGGCAGTGCTCTCTATTTATGTGCCACAGATGGCATCTTCTTCACATTAAAAAGCACCTCTGCCCCCCAGAACAGGGAGCATTGCCCTTTCTCCTGTCTGGTTTTTGTGTCTGCAACACCCAGTGCTTTGGTGGACACAATAATGCCTAATAGATATGGTTTCCTATTTTCCTTCCCCATCCACCATCAAAGGTTAGAAATTGAGCAGTTCTCATCATGCTTTTCACCTTGACCTTCCTTGGGTCTGAAGTCTCTTCTGTTTTGAGCCCAGAAGGACAGAACCTTCCTTGTTGACAGCCTTCTCCACACCCTCTTCTCTTGGCTGGGCAGATACCCATCCAACTTAGGCCCCAGAGCTACTTACTGAGCAGACCTAGTCCATAGGGCTCTGAAATACTCATTCCCCTGCCTGGGTGTTCTACTTCTTTTGCTGTCTGAAGCTCTTTGCTTTCCTTTTTGCTGATTTGGGGACATAGAAAACCCTACCACCTCACTGAAGAGCTGGCCCTGTGCCTAGTGGCCACAGCCATGGTCAACCCTGGTTGCTTTCACACGTTCGCCTTGGGCAGATGATGGGGGATATCCTTAGGACTCAGTCCCCCACCCCATCCCAAGTCTCATGTGGAAGTGTGGGATGTAGCATGTCAGGAAGCTGTCAACCTGATTCGACCTCACGGGGACCCTGCCCTCTACTCATTGGCTGAACTAAGCAGGGGTGGCTATGGTAGGGACCAGTGTGGGAACTGCACAGGAAGACCCAACCCAGCCCCCTGTTTTTGGCAGAAAAGCTTCTAGGTATGTGTAGTGGTGGTGGGGTGAGGGGATGAAGAAATCCAGGAGGCTTAGCCTGGGGTGTAGCTGAAATGACAGGAGGGGAATCCAGGTCAGAGAAGAGGAGAAAGTCTGTAAGGAGAGCCACAGGGAAATGGGCTCTGTGAATAGACTGTGGAGACAGCTGACCTCATGTTCCCAGTCCCTGCCACGCCCCCCTCTGCCCCCCTTACCAGGAGCTACCCTGTCCAGAGGAGGAGCTACTTGGTGCTGACCCGAAAGGGCACATTGAGCACTGTGGTCAGGAGCAGGACTCTGGGGGCAAACATAGCTGAGCTTGATCCTGACCTCTATATCAAGGTATATGACTTTGAGCAAGCCTCGGTTTCCTTATCCATAAACTAGAAGTAGTGGTACTGACCTCAGAGGCAGCTGCGGTAAAGATGAATTGCACTCATTAGCAGTTCATTATTTGCTTAACCATTCACAGCCCTAACCCCATCATCCACAAATCCTGTTGGCTTTCTTTCACAACCTTCACAGATGGAGAGTCTGCCGTGCATCTTTGTTCAAGCCTCCACTATTTCTCACCTAGGTAGCCTCCTAACAGGCACTCTTGCTGCTACCTCTGCTGCTCTCACTCCCAGGAGCTTTCTCTCTCCAGTGGCAGGTGGAGGTCACCATGCGTTCTGTTACAGGTCTCTGACATTGTGGACTCCCACCAGACTGTGGGTCTGAGCACCCAGGAGCCTGGTGATGTCTTCACCTACTCTGAGTTTGATGGAATCCTGGGTCTGGCCTATCCCTCTCTTGCCTCTGAGTACTCCGTGCCCGTGTTTGACAACATGATGAACAAACAGCTGGTGGCCCAGGACCTGTTTTCAGTTTACATGAGTAGGTAAGGAGCTGCTCCCAGCTGGGGCCAGACTTCGACAGCCTGAGAAGGATAATTGGCTATGGGCAGTGTCCACTCCTTGAGGATACTTTATAACTCAAGAGTAGTCACCAATATCCAAACAAACTCCTGTTTCCAGGAAGACTGAAAAGATACATCCAACCTCTTATCAAATGACCCCAATGCAGTTATTTATGTTAACAGAATTCAGTGGGTCAAAATTAGACACTGTGGCCTGAAAAACAGCAAGTCTGTCCTCAGCCCTGTGTGGGGACTTTTCACTTATTTTTCCCTACAGTGACAGGATCTCTTTGTTGAAATTCACTGACATTTAGAGTTGATGCTGATGGAGTTAAACTTCTCCTTTCACTATGGGGACAACAGACCCAAAGAGGGATGGTCACTCTCAGTTCAGTGTTCCCTAGCCTACCCTTCCTGCTCCCTGATGATAAGGCACAGATCAACGAGAGGGGAGGTGACAGGACAGAAAGAAAGGGACCACCCTTAGGTGAAGGGGTTGGGTAGCCGAGCCCAGGGGAACCCTGGCAAGGGGTACATTTTGCATTGATCCGTTATTCACTCATTCAGTAGGTATTTACTGGGTTCTTACTATGTGCAGGGGCTGAGCCAGGAGGTGGGGATGTGGCAGTAAACAAGACAAACTGGGAGTTGACACTTTAGTAGGGGAAACAGACAATACCTAATGACACACACAATTGTACTTCAGCAGTTGATAAGGGTGCTACAGGGAAGCCTGGGTGTAGTGAAGGCTTATTAAGAAAAGAGAAGGTAAGTGTGTAGAAGGGGGAACAGGTGGGAGTCTCCTAGGTGGGACAGAGGGACAGTGTGTTTTAAAGCTGGGGGACAGACTGTGGATGGCAGGGGCCCAGGGAGCCAACCGAACACTGAGGGTGACTGAGGCAGAGTCTGGCTGAGTCCTATGACCTGTGACCTCTCTCACATGGGCAGCTGCCTGACAGACCCCACCTCACACTCCCATGTGAGGCTTCTGAGGAGGCTTGGTGCCTGAGGCTCTCCCCAACCCTTGCTATGTTTCAAATGAAAGCTGGTTTCCAGGCACTGCTTGGGTCTGGGGGCTGCCGAGCAAAGGGCAGAAAAGTGTGCTCAGTCCAGGCTAAGAAGGAACACGGGGAGGCTTCTTGGGGGAAGGAGGGGCCAGGTCTCGTCTGCCCCAGTGTGGGCTGGGCACCCCTCACAGAACCGGTGTGCAAGTTATACTGGCCTTTCCTTGGTTTCAGGAATGGTCAGGGGAGCATGCTCACACTAGGGGCTATCGACTCATCATACTACACAGGATCCCTGCACTGGGTGCCCGTGACCGTGCAAGAGTACTGGCAGTTCACTGTTGACAGGTGGGTGTGACTTGAGTGATCCAGGGGTCTGGGGGCCAAGACAACTGCAGCCCAGTAACTCAGAAGGCCACAAAGTCAGAGTTTGAATCAGATGCTTCCAAGATTAAGTACCTTTTGTCAGCGGCGCTGCTAACACAGTCTCCTATGCATTTGTTGAACACTTACTACCTGCTAGGCATTCTGCTAAGTGATAACAGAAGTCTGGACAGCTGTCCCTTGATAGAATCCTCATTTTCCATACAGGAGGTCAAGAGTCAATTCTCAGCCAGTGTGCCATGTGTCCATATAACGCCAAACAGGTTTCAGTAGATCTCCCACACTAAGACAGGCTAAGAAGAAAGACCTGGTGAACTACATCTGAAAAGCAACCAGTGAAAATCCTATGGGTTATAACAGTCTAAGTTATTGTCCATGGGGTGGCCATGAGCCAGGGCTGGCTAGATGGCAGCTAAGCACAAAACATTTTGCGGTGGGTACCATTCTTAGCCCTCCATTTATAACTTGCTAATGTTGAGTTTGAGCCTGATGATCCTCTCTTTCCTGAGGAAGCTGTTGCTTGAGGAAGTCATGAGTGGAGAACTGCTAGGTAACTTGTCTGAGACATGCAGCAAGGAAATAGCAGAGGGAACATTTGAAACCAGATCTTCAGGTAACAAGTCTACTCCCAGTCCTTTTAAAGCACAGGAATTTATTTATTCAAGTTTGACCATAGAAGGAGAGATGGTCTCCATATAGCTTTTGAGTTGGGAAAAAAATAGCTTTCGGTCTTTTCTCTGAGCTCAGGAAGGTACAGGGGCCCCAGGAAAGGGATCCAGGGTGGGAAGCACCCAGAGAGGGACGCTGGGTGCTGGACACACCTCAAGGTGGTCTTGTTTCCCTCTGCAGCATCACTGTTGATGGCGTGGTAGTGGCCTGTGATGGTGGCTGTCAGGCTATCCTGGACACGGGTACCTCCCTGCTGGTTGGGCCTGGCAGTGACATCCTCAACATCCAGAAGGCCATTGGAGCCACACAAGGCCAGTATGGCGAGGTGAGGCCAGGTTCCCCGCTGCCTCCCCAGACCCCTTCTAGTGGAGGTCCCTTTGGTAAAGAGACATGGTGTTGGAACCCATTTCCAGAGGGAGACAGGGTTCCTCGGAAGTCCTCAGGATGGCCTCTGACTCTGGCCCATTGTTCTTATTGGGGCTGTCATGTTTCATGTAGCAGCTGCAATTGGTCCCCTGATCTCCCTCTTTTCCCTGTGACCGATACTGTGCCCCATTGTTCCTCCTCCACCCAGGAGTCCTTACAACTAAGTGGTCTCTAGTGTCCTTGCAATCTCTAACCAGGCCTGGAGAGGGTGCTACTGAGGCAGCCCATTGGTCTCCTGCTAAACTCTGACCCTGAGTTGGCTGATGGTTAGTCCTCCTTGTGTGAGGATCATGTCTCCATCCAGCCTTGGCCTGAGAACATCCCTGAGCAGGCAGGACAGCTTTCCCCTCAATCCCTGTGCTCACATCCTGCAGAAGAAGGGCGTCCTGCCCTGGGCTGTTTCTCTTGCCTTCAGTATTTCTCATCAGATCACATCCCATTTTCCATTCTAAGAGGAATTTCCTTTGTCTCCTTAGTATGATATCAACTGCGGGAGCCTGAGCAGCATGCCCACTGTTGTCTTTGAGATCCAAGGCAGACAGTACCCTCTGCCACCTTCCGCCTACACCAACCAGGTATGAGTCTCCTGGGAGGAATCAGGGAAACCGGAGATCAGGAAGTGGCATAGACTAATGGAAAATGCAGAGACATTCAGATCAACTGATCTTTCTGATTGAGGCCATACTGTCCTTGGGCCTCATGTGTGGTTCCTATAGTCTCATTCTAATAGTAAGGACAGAACATGAATGGGAGCAAGGAGGGAATGTGGGAAAGGTAAAGACCAGAAACCACTGTGTAAACCACCCTCTACTACCATTTGAGCTTCTGAGACCAGAAACCTAGAGCTCTACCCAGGGTTTCCTTGTGGACACTCAGTCCTCCTTCTCCCCTGGCCCACTGGTCCCAACTTTGATCTAATCCTGAGCACCCCAAATTAGCAGGCCAGCCTGCCTCAGTCCTCTGACCAGCTCTTACTGCTTATGTGGGCAGTAGTTCTGAGAGCAGGAGGGCAAGGGGCTGGAAAAGATAGGTTTCAGGGCAGAGCACTGAGTCTCCAATATCCAGGACCCCACTGCGCAATCCTGTCACTATTTTTTGGAATCTCATTATCTTTATCTTTTGAGCAAAAGGATTAAGTGCTTCTCTCAAAAGGCGATTTCCACTGAAATAATAGATGAGAACGGTGGATGAGTTGGGAAATACTTGGATGTACCTCACCTCATGTATCCTTTCCCAGGACCAGAGTTCCTGTACCAGTGGCTTCCAGGGGGACAATGGCTCACAGCAATGGATCCTGGGGGATGTCTTCATCCGAGAGTTTTACAGTGTCTTCGACAGGGCTAACAACCGAGTGGGGCTGGCCAAGGCTATCTGATTGCATCACTGTTCAGGGACCATGCGGCCCCAAACACACACACATGCATGCACACACACACACACACACACACACACACATCTCATCAGGGCTTTAGGCAGATGGTTCTCAATAAACACTGGTCTCTGCAAAGTGTGGTTTCCCTTGTCCTTATTAGAACAACACCCTGAACCATTGTGTGGGTGGGCTGTGATTGCTGAATGATATACGGGGCAATGCTGGGACCATATTAATCTGGATGGACTGAGGACCTAATTGATGAATGGAGACTTTCATTTCAAGCTCAGAATGTGTCTTGCCTATTTCTCCTCCTATTTAAGATCTTTGCAGGCCAAGGCTTGCTTGTGCTCGGGATGGGAGGCAAGATTTTGGTGGTATGGGACTGAGAAAAGAATGTCTGACCCATGGAGACAAAGGTCCTGTTTATTAAGCAAAAGATTGTGTTGCCATTGACGAAGACAGGTGATGGAATATATTGGGAACATCTGTAAAGCTACCATTCATTGCAGAGAAGAATCACAATCTTGGGTCCCATCTTCAGTCTTAGAGGCTCAAAACCTGATTTGTCAGAACTCAGAGAGTGGCTTGAGGCTTAGGGCTGGCTCAGGTTAGCCTGGTTCTCAGTGGCTGATGGTCCAGGCAGATGCTGGTGCTGGGATTCCAATGAGGACTACAATTGTCCAGTGGACAATGGTCACGTCCACAGATACACAAATGCTCTTCCTGGAGAGAAGCCACATGGGAAACACAATTATCACAGTGTCACAACAGGGGGGCTCAGGTGTACCTAAGCTGTGTAATTTTGAGGCCTCTACTACCTTGGGAACAGTAAACAAGCTTCTTTGCAAAATCTGGGAGTCATCTTTGTTAAGGCTTTCTGTTCAGTCCATAGCTGGGCACTGTACATGTTAGTTTCTGTGGACCTCCTCTTTCTTTATACCCAGTGTTTTTCCTAATGGAGGACAAATGATAGATCAGATTTATGTGGACTAAACAGTCAGCCTGTCCTGTTCTCCACTCCTCCCCTCCTCTCTGAAGGCCTTGGGAAGGGAAGGGGGACTACCTTACTATCTAGCTTCTCCTCACCCCCAATATTAGTATCTAGTGCCCCCCACATCTTACTATCTAGCCTCTCCACTGGATTGATCACTACCATCAGCCTGAGGAGCAGGGCAGTGGTGTGGTCTGCCTCCCAGAGCCAGAAGCTATAGGTTTGCAGTGACATTTAAGAGTCAGGGGTCAGACTTCTTTCTCCCAGTTGGAACTCTATATAGGTGGGATCTTGTTGACAGGCTTATGTGGGGATCCTCCTGGGTAGGATCCCTGGAGTCTTTCTCAACTGTCCCCAGGACAAGGGGTCCTGGTGTGGCACTATAGGGTAAGCACTAAGCACTGTGAACTACTAACCGCAAGGTCAGCGATTCAAACCTACCAGCTGCTCCTTGGAAACCCTCTATAGTGTTGTTATGAGTCAGAACCAATTCGATGACAACAGCTCAAGGACAAACAAGATGAGGGGCACAGGCAGTGGACCCCTGGCACAGGCAGTGGACCCCTCGAACAAAGAAGGAGCAGGTGGGCTGGGGGAGGGGCAGTGGAGAGATTTGCAGGTACATTCCCAGGGGAGCTGGGGAGCCTGGGGTGGGCTGGGCAGAGAATGTGGGACAACTTTCAGGGGCTTCAAGGACAGAGCGCAGGACAGCAGTGGGTGCTTGAGATGCTCTGGTTCTAGGTGGAAAGCCCAATGCTGAGAAATGTTTTGGCTTTGGGTGACTTCTCTCCACCTCACTTTCCTTATTTAAGACTGATACCACCTATTTGCCAAGAATGAGACAGAATTGGGCCACTTTCATTATTTTTAGGCTTCTGGTAGATTAAAAACAAAAAAAGGCAAATAGACTTAACAAAAATTGTGTTATATTTCAATGCTTTACATCTAACAAACTGTATTTTTAAACATCCAAACCTCAACTGGAGTTAATATAGAAAGCCTAAATATGGTGACTTTCTATATCAATCAAATGACCCCACCTCCTGCCTCAGTCCTCTCTGCACCCCCATTTAAACCCACCAAGCCTAAGAAGTGTGGAGTCCCGGTATGGCACTGTGGGATAATGTTCTGGACCACAGGGTCTGTTTGAACTACAAAGTGGCCATTCAAACTTACCAGTCACTTCTTGGAAACCCTATACAGAGTCTCTATGAGTAGGCACTGACTCGACGGCACTTAACAACAACAACAACACGCCTAGGAGTGTAGGGAAGATACCTGAGGCTGGTATAAATAATGCCTCCCTCTTGGACAAATGGGAGGAGTCAGAGGGTTCCTGCAACTCTGTATTCTGTTCCTGAGACTTCTAGTTACAGAGAGTGGTCTGCCTGGGCTGTTCTCCACACCCCAACCTTTTTTTCTGACTAATAGTTAATCATCCTCAAAGCTCAACTCAGTAATCATTGCAATGAAACAATGGTGTAAAGCTGATAGTCTTCCATGTAAACTATCACTCAGTTCACAATAAAAATTTAAAACAAAACAAACAAAACGTGTAACTCAGTTCAAATCTCTTCAGGATACTCCTGACCAGTCTGGGTACCCAACACTCTACGTAGCATGCTGTAGTTGTTAGGTACTGTTGAGTTGACCCCTACTTATGATGACCCTTTCTCAATGAAACAAAACTCTGCCCTGTCCTGAGCCATCCCCACAATCAATTGTGGCAAAATTCTTGCTTTCTATACCAGGCACCCAAGTTAGATTCCCTACCAGTGAGCCTTATGTGTGGCTTCCACTGTTTGTCAGTGGAGGCTTGCTTGTAGAGGTTTTAACAGAACTTCCACACTAAGACAGACTAGAAAGAGAGGCCATACATCTCCCTCTGAAATAGGTTCTTAGATTTGGGCTTTGATACTATGACATTTATTTCTTGGTCTGGCTTCTCACTGACTGTGGGTTCCTGAGGACAGACGCTATATGTGTGCCCTTCTCATTCTCACATCTTGGATTCTGCACTCATGCAATGCCTCCATCAAGTATTGTTGAACGAATGAATGGCCCATTCAACCAGTGAGGGTCTCAAGATATACCGTTTCCTTTCGGATTTTCTTGTTGAGCAAAATGTGGTAGAGTCTGGTTGAAACTGAAAGCAAAGAGTTTTTATGCAGTTATTATTGATAGGTGCCATAGAGTCAGTACTGACTCATAGTGACCCTATGTACAACAGAATGAAACACTGCCCGGTCCTACGCCAACCTCACAATCGTTGCCATGCTTGAGCCCATTGATGCTGCCACTTTGCCAATCCATGTCTTTGGGGGTCTTCTTCTTTTTTTCTGACCCTCCACCTTACCAAACATGATATCTTTCTCCAGCTACTGGTCCCTTCTGACAATATGTCTGAAGTATGAGAGACGAAGTTTGGCCATCCTGACCTCCAAGGAGTACTCTGGCTGCACTTCTTCCAACATGGATCTGTTGGTCCTTTTGGAAGTCGATGGCATTTTCAATATTCTCCTCCAACACCACAACTCAAATGCATCAATTCTTCTATGGTCTTTCTTATTCACTGTCCAGATTTTGCATGCATATGAGGTTATTGAAAATAGCATGGCTTGGGTGAGGCATACCTTAGTCCTTAAGATTTGCCTAATGCAATACGTCCTTTGATTTCTTGACAGCTGCTTCAATGAGTGTTGATAGTTGATCCAAGAAGAATGAAGTCCTTGACCATTTCAGTTTTTTTCTCCATTGATAAGAATGTTGTTTATTGGTCCAGTGGTGAGGATTTTTGTTTTCTTTACATTGAGATGCATTCCACACCAAAGGCTGTGCTCTTTGAGCTTCATCAGTAAATATTTTAAGTCCTCTTCCCTTTCAGCAACAAATGTTGTATCATCTGCATATTGCAGGTTGTTAATGAGTCTTCCTCCAATCCTGATGTCACATTTTTCTTCATATCTTCTCAGATTATTATCTCAGCATAGAGGTTGAATCCACCACATGTCTGTCAGTTTGTCATACTGTCGTGGCTTGTGAGTCATTGTGATTCTGGAAGCTATGCCACCAGTATTTTAAATACCAGTAGAGTCACCCATGGCGGACAGGTTTCAGATGAGCTTCCAGATGAAGACAGACTAGGAAGAAGGAGTGATGAACCACTTTCAAATATCTAGTCACTGAAAACCTTATGAATAATAGAGAAACACTACCAGATATAGTGCTGGAAAATGAGCCCCTCCACTTGGAAGGCACTCAAAATACAACTGGGGAAGAGCTGACTCCTCAAAGTGAGTTGACCATGATGATGTAAATGAAGTAAAGTCTGTGGGAGTAAATCCTTGAGAACTTCATTTGCTGATGGGGCACAACTCAAAATGAAGAGAAACTGCTGTAAACATCCATTAATAATTGAAACATGGAATGTACCAAGTATGAATCTCAGAAAATTGGAAATTGTCAAAAATGAAATGGAACACATAAATATTGATATCTTAGGCCTTAGTGAGCTGAAATGGACTGGTATTGGCCATTTTGAATCTGACAACCACATGGTTTACTATGCTGGGAATGACAAATTGAAGAGGAATGGTGTTGCATT